GACATTCTCCTTTTGCCATTCTTGAAAGACTAGGTCATAATCTTCAAATTTATTTAACTTCTTCAGTCTTCTTGTAGTGCTAAACAACCTTCTTTCTGCTTCATTTCTATTTGAAGGAATGTTTGGGTTAATACAAGTCCAACACGGTAACATGGAAGACCAACACGGTAACGCCCGTCTTCACTTCTCTTAAGTTCTTTGAGGAACAAATCATGGGCTAGCTCTTCTCTTTCCTTCTTGGACAACGTTTCAGCGGGATCATTAATTCCTGTTGTTTCTATCTGGAATGCTCTGGAATGCTAAGTTATTTCAGAGATAAATTAGTCATCAACGTTAGCTGTACCACTATTCACGTAACCTTGGGATGGATTCTCACCGCAAATTGTCCATCCAAGTTTTGTCTGAATTGCCATTAGACCGTTGTTCAGCTGCTTGATTCCTCCTGTTAGGAGTTGGCCATAAACATCACTACCAATTAAAATTTCTATTTCAGGACACCCCATACCAATATCTGACACCCATAATCTATGTTTCTGAAGCTTTTCTAGAACAGATTCCTTTGGAATGCGTGGAATGTTCCCACATATCTTTTCTTGGTCAAGGAATTCGTAGTGATAACTGATTTGGGACCATTAGCCGGTGCACTTAAATTAATTTTATATTTACTATGAGGTTTAGCTTCTATTTCTGCACCTCCAAGTACCGTGTGGGTAATAGTTGCTGTAGCAAGAGGCTTAATACCCAGTTTTTCACAGTGCTCTTTAAAATATAACTCCTTTGGGACCCACTGTCCAATAGTGCCCTAACCTTCTTAATTTTCTTATTACCCTTAATTAGTATTTCTAGTGTCATGAGAGCTACTTCTTTTGCACACTGCTGATTTGCAAGAGTGTTCTGGATATTCGCTAGGGGTTTACTTTTATCACTAATTTCTTTCGTTTTACCTATCTGAGGACAGAAATGCTCTGTATGAGATTTTGAACAGACATGACAGCGTACAAAAACGTTACACATTTTAGCACGGTGGCCAAAGTGTAAACATTTCAAACAACAGTTCGACTATGCAGTCCTTACTTTCATGCGACTTACCACAGAACAAACATGACATTTCTTTAGCAGCGAATAAATCAGCTGCAGTAGGGTACTTGTTATCCCATTTCCGTATTTTCTCTTTTACTCTCTCTTTTAGGATAATACTTTCAAAGCCTGACCTTGCTAACTGTAATCTTTCTTCACCCGCTACCTCCCTCTTCAAAAAGTTCATTAATAACGTTAAACTCGCTTCACTATCAGAATTTTCCTTTCCTCTAATATTGCATCTCTCCCATGCTCTTAAAATATCATCAGGTAAGCAGGATTCTATCATGGGGTATAGCCAGGCTGAATTACTTTCTGTATCAAGCCCCATGGATTCTAAAGACCTTAAATGGACTTCTACCTTGGTAAATAAGTCACACAATGATAATCTGTCTTTACCCTTAGCTTGAATATTTGCTGTAATTAATTTAAAAAATTCCCTGACATACACTTCGATAAGAATATCTTTGTCCCCATAACGGTCTTGAAAAGCTCTCAAAGCTTTGGAATAATTTTCTAAAGTTATCGGGTAATTTTCTAATAAATGCCTAGCACGAGTTCCAGGTTCTACAGCTTGTAGCAAATATTGGAACTTATCACAATCATCTAATTCTTTATCTTCATGTATCTTCTTAAACTGTTCCCAAAATGGCAAATAATTAATTAACTGAGAATGAAAAGGTTTTATATTCAATTTAGGTAATTTATACCGTTTGACTTTACAGTTACTACTGACATCAAAATTACTAAAAACTGCATCATTTGGAACTTTGTTTACATTTAGTAATTCACTAACTTTTCTTTCAATTGTGATGAATTCATCAGAATATTCATCACAGCTTTTAACTTCGATTTCTAAATCATCTTCAGTGGCTCTGCCCTTAATTAATGAATCTAGTACCTCTGAATCATAAGATTTTAACTCGGCTGTTATCGTTTGTAACTTCACAATTTTATTTTTTAATACAGCTTTATCTGCGTGCCGTTGCACGTTTTTTTCTTTATCATATCAGCGTTCATTTTTACTTTAAACTTCACTCAAATATTTAATCTTAAATTTTAAAGTAATCCTTTTAACTTAATATTATTTTCTCAATCCTTAATTGGATTCATATACATTAATTTCTTTTAAGTTAAAATTACTTTTAATGAAGAACATAAAACTTCTAATATATAGTTTAAGCTGAAAATACTAAATATCTATTTCTATTCAACTTAAATATTAGCATGCTTTCATTCAACAAAATGCATCTTCAAAATATAAACATATTTCCAGTACTTCCGTTTTTGAAAGCATAAATAACTAGTTGTTCTTTAGGACAACACATCCTGTCGCAGATGCCAAAAACTTTATTATATTACGTAATTAATCAACTACTGTTGATCGAAGTTGTCAGAATCCACTGACGTATGCAGGTTCTATTTATATTGATTTAAAAAACAAGAAGAAAATTCATTTACCTGTTCTGATGCATTGTTGAATCTGACGTGATGTTTCAGCTGACAATCTTCTTTACAGAAAAACTACAATTGAATTTCTTGACATCACATTTTATTTACATAAAACATTCAAAAGGAAAAATTAATATTTAAATACATTTTCTTGTACATCCTCTCTTTTTCTCTTATGGCTGTAGGAAACAATTTATCCGTCCATCACATGGATTCGAAACCGAACTATCTACTGTTTACAAAAAAGAATAAAAAAAAACAAGGTTTTAATTTCTCCTACTAATGAAACTTGTGGCGCCCTCTAGTGGGAGAAAGCCACTTTAGATGAACATTTAACACCTTTAACCCTTCAATGCATGATTTTTTATATTTTTATTTTACCAACATTTTTTTCATTATTGTCATAGCTTAAATAAATATGAAAAAATATTAAAAAATTATTTAACATTTTTATTAGTTGTTTTTTGAAATTTTAGGTTTCATTGTCATGCATATAGCACTAAAATGTAAATCATGAAAAATTCGTTTACAGTTATATAACTAATAAATATTATCATAAAATACTTAGATATTTATTGCCTTTAGAAGATAATGACTTTAATTAAAATTTTATTGAAACTTAATTCTGATTAATCATGTTCAGACTTAAAGTTAAAATTGCAATGAAAATTTATATAAAAATGACTTATCAAATATTTTGTACATGTGCATTTATTGTGCAATTTATGTTGTATGGAAAATTTTGAAACAATTCTATCCTTATTTCGACATGATGTTACAGTGCATTTTTCACATACAATAAATATTTGGAATTTGAAATTTGGCCTTTTACAACAAGTGCAATTTTTGTTCCATAGGGGCACATGTTGAATTTTATCCTGTTGGACGCAAGTTGGAGGAATGTTTGATGCGAGGCTTCTCTGTCTTTTCACATTGTAATCATTTTTAAAAGGCCATTTGGTCTTTCACGCTTAGAAACTGAATTTTCACCCATTTCGTACAGTCCAACGGATAACACAACCCAAAAGGCAGCCAGATTTAGCAAATCCTTGTGGTTGGCTCCATTTTGTAGAGACACTTCTTTGTACAGCAGCCATGCACTTATGACTGCAAGGTCTAAGAAGTGGTAAAATATCACATAACACTTTCTTGATCTCAGAGTTATTTTGTAGCTTCCTATCTGGCTATCGAGCAAATCTTCCCCCCCCCCCGTATGTTTGTTGTATCGTTTCAGAACATCTGGGCAGCCCACAGTAACTCTTTTTTCTTTCTATCGAATCTAGATATATATTCAATAGGTTGTTTCCCAGCAAAGGTAGACAACAGGAGCATATTCTTATCTTCTTTTCACATTAAATTATGTATCTCAGTTCCACCACAGCCTGCAACGTATTCAACTCTTTCTTCAACTGCTCACCAGTAGGGAGAGAGCTTGCAACCTAAAATTCTGTTCCTGCGCACTGTTCCCAAACAAAGAATGCCTTCATCTGCTAAATACTTCATTATATCAATTGAAGTATAAAAGTTGTCGAAATACAATTTGAAATTTTGATTTTGAGGAATCTCTCTAGAATGTCTAATCACAACATTTCCACTGCCTCTTTTGCTAAACAATTGTGAGGTAGATTTTTTAGGCCTGAGTATACCTCAAACTTGTGAACAAATCCATCGAGTCCACATAAAAAATGGTTTGAAAACAATTGGCCCACTATATGAACATAAATAAAAAAAGTCAAAGGAATTTTCAATACAAACAAACAATATACATACTACATAATTAGAGACATAAAATTAATATTTTATGACTAAATAACAGCAATGCATTCGAATATCGAGTGGGTATTGCTGATATAAAAATAGGCATGAAATAAAAGGTATTATGAAGTCTTATAATTAAAAATCTACTCTAAATTTTAACCTGATTCATATATGAATCAAACAGAAAAATTAAAATATTTCCTTTTAAAACAATTCTGTGGTTAAATCTTAACATAGAAATGAGAAGTACATACCTTCAGCTATATAGAATAAAATTTTTAAACCTCTAACGTTGAATTTATGAATAACACAAAACTAGTTTGACCACTGAAAAAACAGAAATGAATTCTGTGTTCTTGGCGCTAATGAAATAAAGAGTACAGTTTTATCCTGCTATCTACTCTGGAAAAGAACAGCTAAACATTGATATGGATATATTAAGATACAAATAAGCCCAGTAATCTGTCTGCTTTGTAATTTTTTAATGCTAAATTCACTAAAAATTGGTATAATTCATATATGCATTGAAGGGTTAAATGCCTGGAGTGAAATAAGATATTATTAAATATATGTATTATAAATAGCATAAGTTCACACATAAATGCTTTTTTATCAAAAATTTTCTTTTGTTTTTGAAAATATGGATCGACCAGTATACTGCTTTTAACACTACACTATGAGGTTTTTGTGCATTGTTGCTGAGTATATTTTAGTTTTTTTCTTCCCAGGGTAGACATGATGGATTAAAGAAAAGAGCTTGTATGCTTAGTGATATGCATTTTCGGAATCTTCGTCAAAAGGTTTTGTTATTGAATAGGACGGAAGAAGCAGCTCGCCAACTCGAGGTTTGTCTGTTTCTCCCTTTTTTTATTTTTTTACCTTGCCCAGTTTTACTCATTTAATACAAGAAAGTTAGGTTTTTGTTTCTGTAAGTGTTCATCCTGTTATATTTTGTTCTATTTAACTTATCCTTTTTTAGGTTATAATCCAGGTTTTGTTTTGGTTTATTAAATTATGGCAAAGCACACTAGGGCTGTCTGTCTAAGGGGAGGGATGCTTTTGTGGAGGACTTTCAAAGGGAAATTGACTTGCATGTTACACATGGAAACCATGAAAATGCCTGCGCAACCAGGCCGCTTGCCTGGAATTAAATCCAAAACAGAACTATCAGTGTTCAGCTGAGCCACTAGTGGGTTTTCATAATTGAGGAGTGAAAAAGTTTAAAAGTATTAAAACTAGTAAAATCTGTATTTATTCTCAGTTTGTGTCTTGCATGCTAAATAGAATTTTTAAAGTTTACCTGACCTGTAGCTTGTGAATTACTAACAAAGCCCTTCCTATCTTTTCCATTGCTGCCAACTCAACAAATTTTATAGGGACAATTTTAAGACATTCATGCTGGACGGAAGGGAGTCGAAAGTAATCGTTTGCACAGGACGGGTTTTGCATTGCTAAAGCCTAACTTAAAAGGGGGAAAAGTTGAAGTTCTGGCGTCGTAATTTTTGGTACTATTCTAGATTATTACTTAAGCTCTTATATATATTAAAATTAGCATTTAATAATCTTTTTCATTATTTTACATGAAAATATATTTAAAAAATTGCTTATCTTGTAAAATAATTTTTCAGAAGTGCTATTCAAATTATTCCAAAGTTTGACAAATTTCAGATGAAACTTGGTTTTCAGATGAGATTCTTGTTTTTTCATACTTTAAGGTTGGCAGCTATGATATAGTACTTGATAGCTACTTTGTTTTTCACAATAAGATGATATTTGAGCAGAGTTGCGTGTTATCTGTATGTTAATTAATGTTTGAAACATCTATTTCAGAATTTTTCCGTTATTTTGGGAAGCTATATTATATCATGCTATTGGACATATTTGTTGTCCATGTGACCAATTTTATGCCACTTAGAGAAACATGGGATAAGTTATTTGTTAGGCTACATTTATGCAGCTTGGAAAATAAATGAAAAACTTATTTCCAGACTGCTGCTATTTGATATTCCATAAGGTTTTAGTCTTTCGAATTTTTAACTTTTCTTAACAAGCTCTTTTTTTGACACCATGTATAGTGTACTCTCGATTATCTGGTTTATAAATGATCTATGTATGGCAGTGCCTGCGCACACTCAACTGTATGTGAAAAACAAATTTGTGCAACTCTGAGCATGCTCTGAAAGCCACTGAATTCCATCTTTAGCTTTAATGATTACCTTGTACCTTTTGTTCTGCATGTGCATAGTTGAAAGCATATTTTCAGTTGATCATTGGGAGTTTTTTGTTTGTTTTTCCTGAATATTTTCTTGTTTTTGATACTATTTGATACTAATTTTGACTAAATTTGAATACAGTAATGAAATAGCACTGGAAAAATATGCTGTAAAAATCAACAAATATTTAAACAAAGTAAAAATTTTGATTTTACTTTGTTTAAATATTTATTGAAATATTTGTTTAAATATTTAAATTCTCAGAAATAAAGTAAAATCTTTGATTTTTTAAGAAATAAACACATACAATATGCATTAATAGTTTGGATTATCCGTGATTTGTTTCCCTGGCATTAGTCTGGATAATTGAGACTACACTGTATTGTGTATCTTTAAGCAAAATCTTGGTTTTTACATTTTTAATGCTTAAGTAGATTTTAGAATAAGAAAGATCTAAAAGTAAGCTTTCATCTTTATTAGAATTTTCTGAAAATTTTTTCATAACTTTCACTTTAGAGTACTCGCCTTCACTCAAATTCGGGCTATGGTGAAGAATTCACGGTACGAGAGGATTTGATGGGATTAGCCATTGGTGCTCATGGAGCTAATATTCAGAATGCAAGGAAGCTAGATGGAATCACTGGAATTGATTTGGAGGAATGCAGTTGTACTTTCAAAATATTTGGCGAGGTAAATAGCAAACATATCTTTATGCTTATTAATCACAAACTTGAAAAGTTATAAAATTAAAAAATTTCATATTTATCATTTTATTTTTTGAATAACTTAAATTTTGATTAAAATCAGTAAGCATTTTCTTTATTCCTTTCTTTTTTCATTTTAATTTAAATACACACATATATATATATATAAAGAGTTATTAAGAAACGTAGTAAAATGCATTAGCATCTAGCAAATTCAATTTTGCATATTTGATATTTTCACAATTAAACATAATTTGTTTCATATTATGAATCAGTGCATAATTTTTGTGTCTTAAATAATTATGATGTTGGGAAACTAATATATGTTTTATATAAGCAGCTGAATTAATTAGCTGTGTTTGGCCATACATGACATCTTAAATACATTCATTAGTATCCCCCCTCTTCAATTTTAGAATGGGTTATTTATATTGTGCCATTACATAAGGGTTTGCCTTGGTGACATTGTATTCTGTTGTCATATAAAAGGTAATATAGCATAAGATTTTTTAAAGCAATTTATGTGATAAAGAACTGCCATCATACCATTTAATTCTATTTCAGAAAATTAAAATGAGAGTAGAATATTAATTATTGGTGTTGAATAAAATTGTCAAAACATAAATTGCCTGAATAGGGCTTTTTTAACTATCCAGCATGTTATTCTTAAAATTTCATCTTCAGATTAGTTAAAATAATTCTGGATTAGAAAAACCAATTATGATTTTCTGTTATTAATTTTCATGGGAATTGAATTAGTCAGCATTTCGGTATTCATTAGCGGGAACCTTCTCACACTGATCAATAATTAATATTTTTTTCTGAAATGCTAGAAAAAAGCAAGAGATTTTAAAAATGATACTCCTTTTTCATTTTTGCCAACTGAAAGATTCTTCTGTGCTTCAAAAGAAAATTTAGTAAATTTGCAAGATTTTATTCCTTGCCATATGTTTATGATTTTTATTTTTAATGCATTTTAAATAAAAATAAATAAGTTTTTAAAAAGTTCCAAAATTCAACTATTTCTTGCATTCAGTTTTTAAAAATTGTCTAAAAAATCTTACTTTTTTTACAGATGTATCTAGTATTAGTAATTAAATTTATTTTGATGTACTATAGACGCAGGAAGCAGTAAAAAAAGCTAGGAGTATGTTAGAATATGCTGAAGAATCTGTTCAAGTGCCTCGAATGCTTGTAGGTAAGAGTGATTTTATTTTCATTAATGAAATTTTTAACCTTATATAAAGGAAGTATTATAATTGCCAAAAAATTTTGGTTATCATATTTCAACTAAAATATACATTTTGACCACTTTTGAATGCAGTTTAATGATGTTTTTGGTGCGAAATCTGCAAATCTATCATCAGGGAATATTGACAAAATAAAAGACTTTTTTTCCCAAAATTGAATAAAAACGGATTCAGAAGAGATTTTTTTCGTGATGTCTGTACGTATCTTGCATAACTCAAAAACAAGGACCTCAGAACGTTGAAATTTTGTATTTGGAACTTCTGTAACTGTTTGGGTATTCTGGTATGGGTAATGTTTTCACAGAGCATTTTAAAAACCATAATCCTCATAGAACAATCCCTGATGTCTGTACATGACAATAACATCCTTGCAGACCAAGTTCACCCATTCATGACAACAGCATTTCCGGCAGTGGATGGTGTTTACCAATAGGGTAATGCACTATGTCATAAGGGTCAAATCCTCAGGGAGTAGTTCGAGGAACATTTCAGTGACTTTCAAGTCATGTCTTGTCCATAAAATTGACCTGGCATTAATCCAATAGAGCATTTGTGGCCCCCACATGGAAAACCAAATTCCTGCTGTCACGCTACCCCATCACAATGTACCGAAATTGCGGGACCATTTGGTGAGTGCATGGTGCACGATACCTCAGATTACCTATTAGCCCCATATGGAGTCAATGATGCCCCGGATGCTGGAAGTTTTGAGGTGGTCTTACATATTATTAACGGGGTCGTCATAATGTAATGGCCCTGTGTGTATATTCATATATATATATATATATGTACACCCACTCTCTTACCCGCCTCGGTGAGCTCATTTTTATTCTTATAATGTTAAACTGCATTTTTTGCTTTAATGATTCATTTATGTTGTTCTTATGTTCTGGTCAGAGTTTTTGTGCCTTTATACCATTTAATAACATATATGTTATTAAATGGTATAAAGGCACAAAAAATGCAGTTTAACATTATAAGAATAAAACCAACAGTTCAAAAACAAACCTTTATACCAACAGTTCATCTGCATGTAATAGTTGTAGAATTATCAGCAGTTTAAAAGTTATTTAAGTACCACTAAGCCTAACACAGAGTTGCCAACTCTTCCGATTTAGATGGGAGACTCCCGATTTTCAACTGCTCTCCCGCCAACCCGATTTACAATATATTTCTCTCGACTTATTCTTTTAAAATTTCTTATGATTTTTATGGAACTTGGCTGAATACTTTGTTATATAAACAAAAAAAAGTGATTTTAGACGGCTGAGTATATGTGTCTTCGGGAAATAGTTTTAGAAATTGTCATCTTTTGTTATGTCTGCGAGAAAGGTGAAATACTCGTGTACGTTTCAAAAATCGTACACAGTTGATTTTCCTTCCATTATTTCCTCAAGGAAATGTAATAAATTTGCGATGTGTACCGCCTGTCGTTGCGAACTAACTGTTTACACTTAAAAATTTTCGCTACATATTAAAGTGAGTTATACTCACTGTGGTCAGCCAACCAGCGGCCGAGTGGTAAAGATGTTGAACACTGGTAATTCGGTCCGAGGTTCGAATCTTGTGAACGGGCTGGATGCATGGGCGTTTTCGTGTTTTCCCCCATGTCTAACGTGTATACGAGCCAGTTTCCCTTAGAAAGTCCTCCATGAAGGCATCCCTCCCTTTACGCAGATAGCCCTTGTGTGCTTTACCATAAATAATCCAATCCACTGTGGTCACAAGATAAAATTCAAGTAAAACGTATTCTTTGCATCTGGTGAGACTTAAAATAATAAAAACTACTTATCACCTCTGGTGCTTTAATGGCTTATTGGAACTTTAAAGTATATTAACTGGGTTACAACCCCTGAAATTCTACACGAAGCTACGACACTAACCACATCAAAAAAAAGCCTGACTGACTTTCAACACTTGCCAACCATGCATGCATCAGGCCTTTCAGGTTTGTTCGAATCAGCAGTTCTCTCTCTTGATTAGCAGCAGCGGTGACAACATTCAGTCTTTTAATATGAATCATGCTGATTATGATCTTACTTCTTATTTTAACTTATGCCGTTTGACAAAATCTACCTGCTATTTATGAAACCAAGTATGTGATAAAATGAGGCATAAAAAAAATCAACATAAAGCTAACTGTTAGTAAAACGTAAATGTCACTTATCTTCTTTCAAATATGTCCCAACTCTTATAAGTGTAAAATATTTAATGCTACTTGAAAAATTGCATATTCTCAAAATTATTAATAATTATGTTAATTAATTCATGTCCAGTAATAATGCATACTACTTAGGGATCTATTTTATTTTTAGAATGGTATTACAAAAGTGAAATTCAGGCATAGATAATATTTTTAATTGAACTTATTCAGTTCCCATTTGCTCATAGGTCCTTAATTTTTTTCACTAATGGTCCTTAAAAGTACTTTAATTTTCCGTGTGCAGAAATGTGTATGAACCCTGTTTAACAAAATTTACTTTCTTTTATGTTTCATAATTTTAGCAGTACCCAACATTTTAGAGTTAATTTATGTTGCAAAATATTGGGAAAACATGTCACACACATATATCACACTAGCTTTCCAAAATGTCACACAGATTTCATGAAACTGACTGAAATGTACTGCTAGATTTTTTTGCAATTTTCACCCTTCCCACATACTTCTCAAAGCACATGCCAGGTAGTGACTATGTGCAACAGGTGTAGAAGATTCCAAAAAATGAATCTTACCGTTCAAATTTTTTTTTTTTTTTTTTTTTTTTTTTTGTTTTGTTTTGTTTCACAATGTAATTTCAAAACTGCATAAAAAGAATATCCAGTATATATATATATATTCAAAAATATTTATCTTGATATAGGTACACAGAAATGCATCTTGAAATGTGTCAGGCAATTAAAGTAGCACACATGTTGGAAGAAGTGTCACAGTACACTTTTTCATTCTGTAATTATAATCAATAAAATACATCTTACTCATGCTCATCTTAAATCAGTTACATCTCTTTGTGAGGAATTTAGGAGTACAGTGCTAATTTCTTGACCAATTAAAAATTAACTGGTTCCACCTGGTTAAGTTCTTTATATTAAATTCTCTTATGTGAAAAAATGAACACAGCCTACTCTTCCGTCAGTACTCTATAGGCACTATGTATTATGCCAGAATCTGTATTTAAAGATGCATTTCACACCCTATTATAAAAATGCTGAGTATTCATTTGTAAATCATATGTGAATTACATTTGTTTGGTTATATGAAAAAAAATGGTTTCTTTATGAAAGAATTTATATATGAAATTTTTTGGAAAAGCAAAGAATTGCTGCCAAACACAGGAGTGAAAAAACTTTATAGAATTTAGGAATTAAAGAAGATTACATAATATTGGTGTATGATTATACATTTGATGTTGGCAGGGCTGTGGAGTCGGTAGGGAAAATGACCGACTCTGACTCCTGGAATTTTAAAGACTCCTTCATAGATATATGTAAACATATACACACATGGGTTACAGCTTATTCTTTTAATATAAAAAAGTAATAGATGCTACAGAAAAAAAATTGAAGTCATAGCAAATTATTTATATTAATTAGCATTTATTATGAAATGGAAAAACTGGCTTTAGTTATTTCGAAGAAACAGTAAGTTCTGAAAGAGGTGTCTTGCAAGCACAATCATGTTTCTCTATTTCTTCAAAGGCCATGCAGAAATCTTGTTTGCATTTTTCCATTTTTATATCTAAAGGCTCTTGGTTTTTTATTTTTATTCGCTTTGCCTTAGCCTTTTCAATATCATCGAAAAATATTTCTCAAAATCTAATTCATCACTGGAAGAAAGAGACTCAGTTGCAGTGTCTGCAGTTTGACTGTCCTGATTCAAATTCTCCAATGATTCTGAGAATAATTTCATTCGTAATGAAAGTTCATAGATGGCATTCTTTGCCTTTTTAATTTGTTCATCATCCAAGAAAATTCGGTGTTTCAGATCTACATATATTGAACCCAGCAAGATCTCATTGTCTAGCAAACTAGTTTCTCTTTTTCTTCATTGAAGAAATGATTCCTTCTGCAATAAACCCTCCATTTCAGAAAGAACAAACATCCCATTCTTCCATTCTCGCATCTTGTCAATTCTTCAGATTGCAGCTTTTTTGTGGCTATATACAGTGTAGAAAGAAGAGTTTCCAATTCTGCAAAATCATTCCACAGTTTTTCTTTTAGTGAAACATTAGGGTCATCTACATCTTCTAAAAAAAGTTCTTAATTCTAAAAAACCTCTTATCAAATATGTAATTCCTTATTGCGTTGCTTGATCAATAATTGCTCTTTTTCCTGTTCGCTTCCTAAGAAGGCATCAATTTAGGGCGTTCTTTCTGCTATTGATGCTTACCTAAATTTGCCAGTGAGATTTGTAGCTAAATGAATCAGTTTAATCACTAATGGCAAATATCACATCCTTCTTCCTTATATTTATTTATTAATATGTCAAAAAATGGAAAATAACTATTTATTAATGTAAATTTTAACAAACATGTAAATACGTAAAAAAGCAAAATTAAAGTTTAAATAATTAAAAAATGTGCAAACAAATAAAAGATTTAATTTTAATTTTTAATATTGAATTTGCGAACCAGTCTACAATATCATTTAAATTCAGATAGCATAAGTAAACCAAGTGCAAAACCAAACCATGGAAAAAAAAAATTCACCAATTTAGCAAATTAAAATTTATCTAAAATTTTTTTTAAATGCATAAGTGAATGACTGTTGAGCAGGCAGGAGACAGACTTATCAAGGGGAAGTTGCCTGTCCATAAATAAACATAATATCTCAGCTTGTCATTAATTTTTTCCAATTCATTTTAATTTCATTTCAAGTTCAAATTGTCCAACAAAAACTGGAGTCAGAGTCGACCTGTTTTTAGCAACTCCAGCTCCAAACTCTTTTTACCCCAAAATCTTCCTGACTCCGACTCCACAGCCCTGGATGTTGGTAATATAGTATTGGATTTACTTGTTTTGTGACATTATTAAATTTGTCATTAATATTTTTAATATTGTGGTTCTTCATGAAAACATAATCTGTATGTTTTCCTTTCAGGGAAAGTTATTGGAAAAAATGGTCGCATTATTCAAGAAATAGTTGATAAATCTGGTGTGGTAAGAGTTAAAATTGAAGGAGATAATGAAAACCAGTCTCCAAGGGAAGAGGTAAAAAACATTATGTAATTTTTTAAAAAATTTTTTGTTTCGTGCAGTGAATTTTTATACTAGTTTCTTTAGTCTGTTGGAAAATGTCCACATATAAGTAAAACATGCGGAGTGTGTGTTATAACTTCGACTATTAACGTATCACCCATTTAAAGCATTTTATTTTCTTGATCATATAAAGATTTTGTATACTTTAAATTGCACTTTTTAGAAATTTCTCAACTCAGTGGTGCCAGTTTCCATAAATATTATTTATATATAGTGTTTAGTGTTCGTGATATTTTATAGTTATTCTTTAAATAAATACTTAATAGCTATGGGTGTATTGTATTTATAATTGCTAGATTGCAGGTGCCAGCAATTTTTAATACTTTGGTATTATCGTAACCATCTTGGTGTAGTAAAGCGATTTTTTTTTTTAAGGAAAAAAATAGTAATTTAAAATTGGAGAAAATTATTTCATATCATATATGTTGTTAGATACATGTTTTATTTTTTTGTTCAGTATTTATTCCAGAATACAATTTATAAAACTATTTACAAATGATATCTCATTTTTAAATTATTCTAGTCAGCCACAGTCTCTTATTGGCCATTTCTAACTCTTCCGAGAAAAATTTAACACACATTAATTCTTTACTTTTAACAGTATAAAATGTGACTGCTTAAGTAAATGGTAGATGACTATTCTCAAACCAAGTATCGCTTCAAATGCTGATTGTTTCTTACTATTTTTTCACAATGCATTTCCAAAAAGGTCATTTTCATTTATTTTTTCAAAATATGTCATCATCAAATGCATTCCTGCTTTTCTGACAAAATGCTATGCTCCTGCAAAAAGTAACAGGGGAATCTTACAAGCGCATATTTCAAAATTCAGCTGAAGGCGAAAAATATCGCAATTTGCTTGTAGACCTAATACAGCCAAAAGAACATCAAAGCATGTACAAAAATGGCCATGTTACTTATTCAAATTTGCAGTTATCTATATGGTTACCCGAAGAATAGTTTAGCCACAGTTTGATGACTTCTACCCAAAGGTGGTTGTGATAATACCAAAGTACCTAATAATTATTGCAACACACTTTTTCTGATACCTTGCCCTTTTTTTTTCTCTTTCTTTACCAATATCAGAGATATAAGAGATGTTAAGTGAGAGTGAAGAAAACGAGTTAAAAAAAGATTTCTACAATGTTGCAGTTTTTTTTTAGATTCTATTATGTTTTTATAGGTATAAATTTTTGAGTTGAGAAAAATCAATGTTAGATTTGTGTTTCATTGTCTTTTTTCAGGGATGAGAATTTTTTCTATATCCTTTGTTTTTTTAGCATGGATCAATAAAATGCCTTAATACATGGCTTCACAGTTCTTTCAAAATAAAATTGTTTTTACAAACCTAATTTATATCAAATGAGAATAAAAGAGGGTTTTTATGAAACTGCTTCATTTTGTTCAGGATATATATATATATAATGTGGTATGAATTAGGTTTAAGTTTTTGTCTTGCTTACATAACTTTTATCAGTTTCATAAGGATAGATGCAGTTGTGGAATGTAACATACATGTTTCCTGTTATGTTCATTGCTATGTGAATAAGAAATAATTCCTTGCTTGCAACATGAAAATCTAATTTAGACTTTTAATTTAACACATGTGATAGTCTTTTATGTAGTGATATTTTTTAGTTGACTTTTAAGTTCTTTATGAATTTCTTCTTAATATCTTTTCCACAGATAGATATTGATTAAAGCTCTTGCATAATATATCTTAGTTGTGGCTGACTCTAAACAGTGAAGTATTACTTCAAGTAGTTTTTAATTATGCAATAGAAAACATTCCAGAAATCACCAAGAAATCAAATATAATTTAAAATAATAAAAAAAAAGGGTAAGGGAGGCTAATATATATATATATCAACTGAAATGCATGTGAGTGGTTTCAGATGAGCATAATTCCACATATGTTAATGCATAGTTTGAAGTATGTCAAATGAAAAGAGAAACTTTAAAATAGCATCAAATTATAAATCATGTTTTGTTAATAAATTGTGTACTGTGTTGATTCAGTTGCAGTAGAAACAATGACTTAGTTTTTACAACTATCTTTCTAGATAATGAGCAAAGCCCAGTGTAGACAGTCTGGGTTTTGTTGCTCCTTCAGTTGTCCATGTCTTATTTCATTGCTTTTCGGGGAATAATATTTAAATGTAGGCAAAACATATGAGGGTTCTCTTCTTAAACTCCATCTCAGTTTTGACTGAGGGGCCCATAAAGGGTAATCCAGGGATCTCACACCTGTCTATCACTGTTGTCTTGGGAATTTTATGAGGTTTTTGAGAGTGACCTGCCCAAAACTGGTTCCCAGGCCTAAATGGTAATCAAGCCTTGTTATGTAATTTCTTCCTCTGGGGTTCCATTTAACAAATCATCTTTGCTTTGCTAAAATTATTTGCAAACCTGCATGGGTGTTTTAAGCTTCAAAACACTGTAGTTCAGTTGGGCTCCTTTTCACAGCAACAGGCTGGTTGCATGAAATTTTATGGTTTTTCTCTTGTGTTAAGTAAACAGAACTAGTTTTCTCCGGAAAATCTACCGTTTCCTAAAGGCATCACTTTTCGTATGCAGATGTGTCCTGCCATAATTCAATTAAACAGTTCTCTTTTTTGTCTGAATTTTTGTTGGCATTATTTGTCAATAAAAAGTAGCTAGTTTGCCAAAGAAAGCATTAAGAACCCTAGTAAATTTTCAATTTGAGTAAACTGCATGACTTTTGTCTTTATTTTTTAAAGAGAGACTATTTTACATACTTTTTACATACTACATATAGCTATTTTACATTTGACTATTTTACATACTACATTTAGCAGTCAAAGGGCTTAACAGCCCTTTGACTGCTAAATATGTTAGTGTAGCCAATATTAAACTGTAGTTTAATATTGATTAATCAAAGCTACTTCTATACAAAATTGATTCTATTCTTTTAACAGCAAGCATATTTTAAGTAATCAAAACGTTTATATGGTTAAATGGTTACAATAAACAAAAAATATTTATTGAATCTTATAGCTATTATCTATCTCCTTACCAGTAGCAAAGCAAATTAGTCCCAATAATTTGTATTTTGTGCAAAGGCTTCATTAGTAAAGAATGCAGTTATTAAACACCTATATTAACAGTTCAAATTTTACTTTAGGTCATTACCAGAGATGTTACTTTTACAAAATATAATTTCATTCTTAATTAGTTAATTTTGTTAAATTTAACTCTTTAATTTTTATCTGAGGTAATTGCGTTTAATATAAAACTCCTTTAATGCCACAAACTGGTATTACTTTATTTTTTAAGTTTTTTAGTTTGTTTTAGTTTTTGTGCCTTTTGCATTTAGAAGAATCTTTCTTGCGTGCTGTTTTTTATTTTTGTAATTTAAAAGTTGCAAATCTTTACTTTCTGCCTGAATTTAGAAATTTCTTTTCATTTTATTGAATGAAAAGAAAAGACGGTGCCTGAGCATTATGTTTTTGCATGTTTTAAAGAAAATTTTGAAGTATGAGTTTTCAATCAATATCATAATATTCAGTTTACTTTTTCTTCCTTTTAAATGCTTATAATATTTGGCCAAAGTAATATCTTCACGTAAAAAAGGAAAGGGTTAGTGTAAAGAATCCATGTAATTGGAGAAATAATGAATACTTACTTTTAAATTTTATCAAAAATTTAGTAGTGGTGGCTTGTTTTAATATTTTTATAATTGTTTTATTTCATGTTAGTGATATATGCATTTTTATTTGCTTGAGATTAAGTTTTGATGCATACTGTTGGTTTTTTTTTTTTTTTTTTTTTTTTTTTTTTTTCTCTCTCCCCCCTTCAATAATTTCAAGAGCTTTGGTTAAACTTCTTTATTAGAGATTCATGGTTTGGTTCATGCATGTTGCATTTTCAGATGCCTTCTTCCCCCCTTTTTCTTTTAGCCTTTACATCTCAGTATTTACTTGGTCTTATTTTTAACCTTTGCTTTACTTCTGCATATATGGATATTTTGCTTTTGTTTTCTTTCTTCATTATTTTTCTTCTTCTAAAGTATTTTCTTTTCTTGTGAGAAATATTCATTCCTTGAAATTTTAAGATAATTTTTTACATTATTTTCTTACTATGCGATGAGACTTTGGGTATAAAGTGTAAAAACAAGCTAAATGTTATAGCATTTTTCCCCCTGTATCATGCAGGAGGGACGAGGGCCATCTCAGCATAGAACAGGTAAAGGATCAATGGATATGCAAGTCCATAGAAAATCTACACCGCATTCCAGCATGACAGACAGAACATCTGGGCATTTGGTGGAAGGCACTATTACAGAAAGAAACTTTAGTGTAAGTGTGGCTGGAGTGTGTGCTATGATGGTATAGGCTTAGTGTGTAATTCTGAACATTGTATCCATATAGGGTTATTATTTTAATATACAGTATGGAGGAAAGTTTATTTTAGTTATTGCAGAACTTGGTGATTTTGGATGATTTTTGATTTCCCCCTCTTCCTTTCATTTTCACTCTCTTAAAATTTGTTTCTATAATTTTTTTTTATTATTATTTAAGTAATACTTTAGTTTTTCTCGCATACCTTTTTGTGCTTAATGTTATATAAATTGATTTGGTCATTTCTAGATTTTTTGTTTGTTGGTCTAAATCTTTATTAAAGCTATAAATGCAGCTCCTTTTATACTAATTACCTGGAATATACTTTTTTTTTTTTTTTTTTTTTTAATCACTATTCCAGTTAAAACTCCTCAAAGGCAGAACTTCAAAATAGTTAAGAAAGCTCAGATTGTAATGTTCCATGTTAAGCATTATTTGAACACAGAATAGGGAGAGAAAGCTAAATATTCAGAAACCAATTAAGTGATAATTGGAAGGAATTTTAATCTGAAATCTTTTTTTATAACTAGAAAATATATTATAAAAGCTATGTAGGGTTCTTAAATGTAGAAGTATGCTTTTTTTTTTTTTTTTTTTTTTTATTTATTTATTTTTTTTTTTTTTTTATTTCACTAAAGTGAAAAAATTCTGATTCTGCATTGTAAGGTATTTTGACGGTTAGCAGGAAGCATAAGAGAAAACAGATACTTTATGGTAGTAACAACTTTGATAATCTATGTTTTATGTTAAATGTATTTTGTCTAAAAGTGTAAAAACAATCAAATTTGGACATCCATGTCACAGTAGTATGGAAAGCATTTTATAAAATGTTCTGTGCAATAAACATTGGCTACTGGGATTACAAACATAAGTAGACTGTTGGCTGCTGGAAATTTGCAGTTTTTTTAAATGCTTTAGGTAATAATAAAAAGTCTTGTACATTGAATCTTGTTGGAGTTCTGTTTCTGTGGGGTTGAGTTGCTGATTGAGCAGGCTGGCAATGTGCTTTACAGCATAAATCCTTTTTATTTATGCATGTTTATTTTTATAATTTATTTAGTTTGTGTGATTTTAATAATGGGTATATCAAATATGTTTCTGTACTTTTTTTCTTTAACTTAACCCTTGTATATAGAGACTAGTCATTTCTAATAAATAATTACGGTAAAAACGCTTAATATGTGAATACTAATCCACAATATAAGAAAACGCTGATCGTATCTATGCAGTTTAAGTCATTGTGTGCCATAGAATATTATCCCCCCCTTTGTGAGTTCCATATTTTTTATAAATTGGTTTAATTATGTCAAGTTTGAATTTTATTTATAAACTTGAAGTCGTTTATCTTAAGTGCAGTCTGTTGAAATTAAAAAAAAGTACACAAAATATTTTGTGTATGGTAGAACCCTGTTTTACTAAGCTAGAGACATACAGGTTATTTAAACACTGTTCAGCAGAAGCAAGTATTATGTATATTATGTTTAAAATAGTAAGTGACCTTTTGAGTTAAGCACCTATATCGTACTGCGATTTAATGAGCAATATCTTGGGATCATCTTTGTGACAGAGATAATTTTTCTATTTTTATATGTAAAATATATTCAGATTGCTTATTTACTGTAAAGCATGTTTACCTTTGCAAAATGAATTCATTTAAAAAAAGTACTCATAGATATAGAAATAGGTATACAGGGATTCATTGCTGCTTTTCACTACTTTTTTTTAAAAGCAGAGTTTTACTCTATCCTTCAAAGAATTCATTTTGGTATTAGCTAAGCTCATGTAATTCATTAATGCTATTATTCTTCTATAAAATATAAAGACTGTTTGGAATTTTGAAAATAATTTTATCATTAGTTACACTGTATGCTGTTTTTTCATGTAATTCAAAATAACACAAAAATTAGTAACTGGTATAAAATTTCAAGTGATAATAAGCTCTACATAATTAACCAGCCAGTTGCTTAAAATGATACATATCCTTAATTTATTGTAGGACCTCCATTAAAAATAGTGAGTTATGTATAATAAAAATTGTGTTTAAAAAATGTACGCTTATCTTCAATTTCTTAATTTATATTTTTGCTTGATATTAATCAAAGCTTATAATAATGACAAAATTTGTATATGAGTTTAAAAAAAATTGTGAATAGAAGCATAAAAGTAGCAGAATATAGTTTTTACCGATATATATGACATATGTTTCGAAAGGAAAAATGTGTATAATTGTAAATTTTTCTTGTCAGTCTAATAAGAATAGTCTTCTGGATTAATTTGTTGTGTCTCTCAATGAATTAAACTATTGATATTTGTTATCTGACTGTATTCATCTTTATAGTGAAAATTTATTGCAATCTTATGTATAAAATATGGGGGCATTTTATTTAAAAATGTTAAATACATAAAACTTTATTATAAACTGAAGTATTAACCTTGGTATTGCACGTGCGAGAAAAACGAGTAAAGTTGCTTGGGTTTCTTCCTCTCTTTTACCATTAAATCTGCATAAAACAACAAAACCAGAGAAAATATAGTTTTAAACATATATTAAAAATTTCAATTTTAATTTGCACATTTCCGGCAAATGTATGCCATATGTTCCTTGCATGCATATTTTTCACAGACAAACTTAGTTCTGTCATTTTTGGCCCCACATTCAGCACATCTTTACCTTCTTAGCAGGAGATGTATCGGCCTCATTGTTGCCCAGTTTTACTTTTAGGCTTTGTATGTTTTTTGACTTTTTATCTTCATCTTCTTATAATCTACCGGTTGAAATGCCAATGTTTTTAGAAATGAACGTTGAGTTCTACGCCCAGCAAGTTGTTTTTTTTTTTTTTTTTTTTTTTTTTTTTTTTTTTTTTTTTTAATAAGAAAATTATCTGTGCATTTATTTCAGCAACGTAACCATAAAATAGTCACTTTCATTTGAATCAAAAGATTGCTCTCTACATCAGATTCTATTTCAGTCAAACATTCGTGTTCACTCTACATCTTCATTATCAGAAAACTCATTACCTTCCTCAAGACTTTCTTCACCCAAAAAAAGTGTCAAGTAAATTTCTTAAATGTTGCATTTCTTCATCATAACTTCAAAAATGTCTCATAAATTGTAACAGAAATGTTCGTGCTGGGTGTGACATACCCTGGAGTGTCGATTTCAAGATATCTGTTTTTAGAACTCTTTTCCCTATTCTTCCTAATGATCTTGGAGGCAGCTACAAGAAGAATCATCTATTTAAAAAAAAGGTTCGAGAGAAACAAAAAAAAAAAAAAAAAAAAAACAGAAAGGGTGGGTATGACATACCCAGGTTAAGAGAGAATAATGTAGTACAGTGTTTCTTAAACTGTGGGTCGCGGGACCTGCAGCAGGAAGTCGCCAAAACTTTCAGCAGTTTTGATATTTCTTTAACTTATTATAATAATTTTACAATGACCAAATATTTTTACACGAGGTATCTGATAATAAAGATAAGACAATACAAAGAAAAAAACGAAAACATTGCGTCACATTCTTTTTATAATATAAACATTCATTTTACTTGCTTTGCATGTTACACTGTCATTTTCTGTGTGACTTATTTAAAAATTTCACATTGTTCTGTCTTAAAATTAGAGTTAATGACCTAAAACTGCAATAGTATATATTACAGTACTAAAAATTTTGTAAATATTATGTGGTCCTGGGGGTTGCGAAAAATCTCACTGATAAAAGGGTGTCACGGCTGGAAAAAGTTTAGAAACCCTGATGTAGCATATTCACAAGGTTACTATATATTGTAATATGGCCTAATAGAATTATTATTTCTTCATTCAGTTTTTAATATTTTCTTTAAATTAGTATATTTGTTTAAAGGGCAAACATATTTTATCACCAGTTTTAGTATCATTACCAGTACCGAAAATATTTGCATTTTAATCATACATTTCTCTATTATACATTGCCATTGTCAGGATGTATACTGCTCAGTTACACTCAGCATCAAATATGCAAGATGGTCATTTCCCGTTTCAGGCTCTTTGCTTATAAATATCAAAAAGTATTTTGAAGTTTCTATATAAACAAGATTAATTAAAAATTGCTTCTTCAGTATATGGAAATGTAGTATATAAGATAACCAAATATGAATTAAATACAATTATTCATGAAGAATAATTTGAAAGATTTCTAAAAAAATCTTTAAAAAAAGGATGGTAAAGAATAGTAAGTATTTTCAATATTTCCTGAAAATAAATCATGCATGCATTTGCAGAAAAATATCATGCATCCAACTCTGAAGCCAAATTTTAGTGCCATTTCTGTGGTGGCATTCATGTTCTTAGAAAATTAAATTTTAACAATGTACTGATTCAGCCATTTTTAAAATTATTCGTAATTAATTGGTTTTGTAAAGAGACTAAATGTGATAATTCATTTGCTATAACTTGCAGGTTTAATTAATCATTACGGCCAGGAGTGTAATCTTTTCTTAATTTTGCCATGCATTTTTTATAGGTACCGTTTGTATTTGTCGGAACAATAGAAAGCATAACAAATGCCAAAATATTACTGGAGTATCACTTGGCACATTTAAAGGTAACTATCATACAACTTGGATTGCTTCTTTAAATAAAGGCATAAATTATGTATGCTTTGAAATCTTTCTTCATTTATATAAAACTAGGGCTACAATTTTATTTATTTTTTTATATATATAATTTATTGTAAATTATATTTGTTATGACTATGAAGTAAAATCCTAACTTTTAAATACTTTGTAAAAACTTTCTTTAAATCATATTTATTATTTGTATTTGTAGGAGGTAGAAAAGTTGCGCCAAGAAAAATTAGAAATAGATCAACAACTTCGAAGTCAAGTAGGTTCTGTACAGAATTTTCCCGTTCCACGCCGACCTGGTCCAGAAAGAAATTATAATTCTGAAGGAGATTCAGGAAGGGGTCGAGGTGGAGGACCCCCACGAGGAAGAGGTCGAGGTGGTGGGCCTGGCCCTGTTCGAAGATGGGGAGGCGATTCCCGCTTTAATAACAGTACAAGTAATCATCCAGCAACACTGAGTGATTTTATAGGTAATGCTGATAAACGTGGTGGACAGAATTCCTACCAGAGAGGTGGGGTAAGCCGAGGACGGGAGAGAGGTGGTGGTGACAATAGCTCACGTGGTTTGCCAAACAGGAAATGACCATCTTGCTAGCACCAGCAGAAGTTTTACTACTCTGATACCTTATCTTGAAAAAAACTAAGCAGCATTTTCATATAGTGCTGTTCGTATTTTGACTTGGACTAACCTAAGTTTCACTGTTGTTGACCAGTTGTTATTAAAAAAAAAAAAAAAAAAAAAAAAGCTGATAATTGATTTATCATGAAATGTCCCACTCACTTATGTCCATACCTCCTGATATGTCTCTCAAAGCTAAGAGCTAAGTAAGAAAAGTGTATGATCACTTGTCAACTAGAGCGTAAGCTCCCTTTACAGCAGCAGGCAGTAGTTTTTCAACAGTGCACTTACAGGCTTGGTGAGATGTTCTCCACTGTTATCATTGACTTGATGTGCAGAGGGAATGTCACTTACCAGCATGAGACTATTGCCTTTGCATACTTTTTTATCTGAAAATTTTCTACGTCTTTGCGTGATTTTTCTGTGGACATTCAGAAATATTTGAAATTGCCTAATTTCAGTAATTATCTACTTCTGTTTGGTGATAGCAGTATATTATTACTTTTTGCTATTTGTGCATGTATGTTTTCTTTGTATAAAAATTTTTACAACATTCAGGATTTCTAAGAATTGCTGAAAAAGTCACCATAGTGAGAGATTTTTAAACTTTCATTTTCAACTTTTGTCTGGTAATATTTTATTGACTGTTTGTGACATTTCCAGTATTTTGCATTAACATCTATTTACGTTAGGCTTTCTGACTTTGAAATGCCTTAAAATAGTGCACTGTTATAAATTGATTTTTTTTCCCTTTCTTTTATTGTGTATTTTTATGAGAGCAGCTATAAATACTTCTAAAATTAATTTCTGTAGACATAAAACCTGTAAATACCTGCTTTTGGCTTTGTAGAGAGGAAAATTTTTTGGAAAAGTTTCAAATTCTTCTATTTTTGTGTTTATTGCATTATGTTGGCAGAGATAGTCCTTGAACATGATATCTTTCAAGTCTGCAGTGTGAAACATGGTAATATGGATGTAACAGTGCATCATTATTTCATCACCAAAACATCTTGAAGGAGACAGAAATTAAAGAAATTGATTGAAATAAGAAACTGAAAATTTGATGCGGACCTTTTCGATACCATAAAGAGTGTGATTGAAGCATTCTTTACGTGAGATCAAACTAGATTGTGACATAAAACCAAAGCAGAGAAGAATATAGACTGTATGGCAGGATCCGGTGAGTGTACTACTTATTCCATTACTGTGACTTGGACTTAGTCGCCCAATAGACAAAAGCAAGTTTTTTCCCTGTCCCGAAAGTGTCATGTTATCCAGGAACTGTGATATCCTACAGTGAAGGATATTAAGACATCCTATTTGCAGAGGAGTCTAGATATAGCATAAGAAACGAAGTTAATGTGTACAAAAAGAAGATTGTCAGAAACATTGACTCTAAAATTGAGAGTTTGAGTTACTGATGTCTTCTCATTTCTACATTGTTTGCTTTTATATTGAAAAAGTAATGTTCCTCAGGTTGTAATAAAGCTGCCATGTTGGAAATACTGTGTGAAATTTTGATTTTAAATGACAAATTCTTTTTTCAAAATTGCTTTATAAACATAAAATACGAGTTTTTTTAATTTCTCAAACCATTTCAGAACTATGCAAAGGACTACTTTAAATTGCATTCATGTTTTCTTATCAGTTTCTTTTTAAACTTTGGAAATATCTTCTTTTATAAATTATCAGGTTGTACTTCTTTTAGAATGAAAAATGTTTTAAACAATTGTAAAAAGATTGCCATTTCAATATCTTAAATTTGTGTTTATGTAATTAAAAAACATAACATTTCATGCAAAAGCAACATTGCCAAAATGTCACTCTTCAAAATGAGACCTATCATAGTAAACAAATGTTCAGTGTAATAAGTAGTCAAAATTTATTTTACTGACTGCAATTATGTTGGAAATTATCTAAGCTTTTTAAGTGACAGTTAAAGTTGCAGTGATAGTCTGTGCTAATTACTAAGAAATTTAAGGATTTTTATGCACTATTATAATGCAGAAGGGTATTTTTCTCAAGTAAACTATCGTATTACTGGTTTTCAGAAGCTCCTTTTATATTATTTTTCAAGTGGAGAAAATATGAAAGTAATAATTGGCCTGAAATATGCAACAGTAGGAGGATAAAACACCAATGTTTAAATTAACAAAATTTATTATCCACAGTGATTTTTCAGATGCGTGTATATTTTTTTATAGTTTTTCTGACAGTGACAGGTTTCTGATAGCATGTAACTGAAAAGTGATTTCAGTGAATTTATAGCTTTGCATAATATCTTCTTTAATTTGTATTACATTTCAATTTTCTTTTATTTATTACATTAAAATTTCAGAATATAAATATTTTACGAAAAATTAATTCACAAGTAAATTTTATATTTAGTTCAGTTCATTTGCAAAAATATTCAAAAAAGATAAACTGAAATATATAAACTATTTTTAAAGTAACCCGTACTTTATTATTCAGAGATGTACTCTAAAAAATTAGCCAAATAAAAATACTGTGAACCAATACTTATTTAAAATTTGCACAAAATCTTCATGCTTATAGAACTGAGAAAAGCAAAATTGAATTTTGGACTATTTTGAAATTTTATTGTTTGTTTAGTATAAAAAGAACAAAATGACTATCAAAAACTAATAATTACAGATTATGATTTTTCAACAGAAGTACGAAACTGGCTGTGTTTATTCATCCAAAATAATTAATATAAACTTTAAAGAGACTTCCTGGCTGGAAGCTTCTTCTTTAAACTTTCTAGAGCATTTTTCAAGATACGAATTTTGAAATTCTGCCATCATCTGAAAAACATCTCTCACTTGTTGAAATTGATTTTATGTCTGGGGGGACAAAACACGAAAGGTGAATACTACTTGATGATATAATACATTATTACTTATCTATTAAAAGCAATTTATCACTAAGCAACAATAGCTCCAAATTTGGATTCTAGATATCATTTTTATACACTTGAGCATAAAGAGAACCCCCCTGAAAGGTATAACTTGTGTGGCCAGTTTCTATCTTAAACCATAATTTCACCGGTTTTAATGCCTTTAACCCTCTGATTGCTCAATTTGTGGACTGAAATTGCTTCAAAAAATGTATATATTTTTTTTGCGTATTTTAAATCTATATATATTTGAGAATTGAAAAATGCATTTTTCCTTTCTAGAAAATGTTTTTTTATATAGATTTTTATCATGAGAAACTAAGTTGCCATAAAAACCAATTTCAAATGTTATCACCCCTTAAAAAAAATTTTTTTTAATAAATTTCAGTCGAATTACAGTTAATTTCTATTTATTGCATAATATAAAAAAGTAAAATTTAAGAAAGTATAAAGCACTGAGAGAAAAAATACTGTAGAAATCCAGTGTAGTATGATAGAATTCAAAACAGGGACAAGGCGAAGTCCAACTTCAGTCTTTGCACCAGATTCAATAAATCTAATTATTAATCTAATCAATAAATCTAATTAATAATTCAATAATTTAATTAAATAATCAAGATAATGCTGAATGTTTTCTAGCAGCAATTTCTGTAAGAAAAAAGCAGCAAAATGTGGAGTTTGAGCAGCAATACCATGTGCTTTCAAACGCTGCAATTTAGTGGACAATTAACGATATCTGTTGGCCAAAACATAAACTAAACATCTAATACTGTATATAATTTCTTTCAGTGGTTAAACGGGGAAAAACCGGGATGTGCTCTTCAATAAAGGAAGAAAAACACATGCCCACGGAAATGAGCAGATTATGCTACATTTGAGTTGCCCGAGGGTTAATTATCTAGCTGTTTTTTTATATGGAGAAAGTCAAAAATAAATCATATCATGGACAGACAGATTTTAAGATGAAGAAATGATTGTTTGAGATGAACTTATGAAGTGATATATAGCTAGCTGCACATGATGATTGAAAAAAAAATTTGTCCAAAGATAAGTGTTCCAAAGAGGAAACAAAGTGACTCTTACACTAGAAAAGCAATGGAGGGTTAGTATAACAACTGATCTTCACTAAAGAGAAATGTAGGTATTGAAGCAGCTGTTTGCAGTATGGCTTTAGGATCCGTCGTGGACAGTTAGCCGTCGGGACATTTAGCTACCGGACACTTAACTGTCAACACATTTAGTCAACAGGACACCAAGACGACAGTGACATTTAGCTAACACGTACCCAATAATTATTCAAACTTGCTATCAATTACAAAATTTCTCGACTACTCCATAAGTTCAATATTTAAGTTATTTTTTTCGCTATCAGTAAAATTCATTTTTCGATTCTTAAATTTTCATATGTGCTTTTAACTATTGTTCTAATTTAGCATTGTTTTATATGTATTGTGCTGCTTGGTGTACATTGGCCAAATCAAAAAAGTGCTGGAATTTTGAAAGGAAAAAATAATTTTTTTAGTACGGCGATCACTGAATTACATCTTAATATGATCTTCAAAAATTCTCAGTAAAGCTAAACCAAAAACGTGAAAGAGGGGAAAAAATTAAATTAATGAAAAATGAAAATTTATATATTTTTAACAGATATTGCGAATAGTTTCCTCTTTTGGAATACTCTTTAATAGTGACGTTACAGTTTTCTTGATGGCTTCGACATCCTGAAATCTTGTTCCCTTCAGCAAATTTTTCAGCTTAGAAAAGAGGAAAAAGTCTGCAGGTGCTAGCTACGTCTGGAGAGTATGGTGGATACTGCATTTCAAGGACACCATGCTGAGCTAAGAATCGCCTCACAGGCAACGCAATGTGTGGGCGGGCATCGTCATGTAGCAGCAGCCAACTCCCATTCTGTTGAAAATGAGGCCTCAGTCTACGAATTCATTTTCAAAGTCGGTCAAGAACTTCTGTGTAGAACTGTCCATTGATAGTCATGTTAGGAGGAAGAAATTCATGGTGAATGAGTCCATCGTAATCGAAGAAAGTGATTAGCATGACCTTGATTTTGGACTTTTCAAACTGAATTTTTTTCTGCCTTGGTGAACTTGGGGACCACCATTCGGATCTTTGACACGTGGTTTCAGGGTCATATTGATAACACCAAGACTTGTCTCCCCTGACTATCCGATCTAGGAATGCAGGTTCAGCATCAGCGTTGTCGATAAGTTTCCCACATGCATCCAGTCTCAATTGCTTTTGTTCGTCCCTTAAGTGGTGAGGAACAAATCTTGAGTTTCCCTAGGTCTTGCGTCAAAATTCGTCGAACCGTCTCTATGTCTATGTTGAATTCATTGGAGAGAGTACTCGAATAATTAATTAACGATCACATTTCACCATATCGCGAACTTTTTCAAGTGCATACAGACTGCGGCCGACCTGTGTATGGAGGTCTTTAAAACTTCTTTCTGAAATTATTGACCACGCCTCTCGCTTAAAATACTTACTTAGGTTAATGCTTATAGCCCTAACCTAGTGCATAATGTTTAATTTAGAAGTAAAATATTCTTTAAGGTTTTATTCATAATTGAAGCTGCAGAAGGAGGGAGCCAAGTTGGGCAGAGCAAAGCATCACATCGTAAAAGTCGCCGTAATGTGGTGCCATCTACCGATGCTAGATTTAACTAGATCAGTCATGTAAATAGAAAATATTATGTACTATGTTTTGAAAGTTGTGATGTGCAATTTTCGATATAATATGTTATATTAATGTTTTCTCATAAAATATAACTATTCGCAATATCTGTTAAAAATGTATAAATTTTCATTTTTCATTAATTTTTTTCCTCTTTCATTCCTTTTCTGTCTCGTTTTTGGTTTAGCTTTACGGATAATTTTTGAAGACCATATTAAAATGTAATTAAATGACCGCCATACTTAGCTAAAAAAAAGCTTTTTTTCCTTTCGAAATGTAATTTCATATTCCCTGACGAGAAATTTCCAGCGCTTTTTCAAGTTGGCCCAATGTACACCTAACAGCAAGTATACATATCAAACAATGCTAATTAATTACATTAATTAGCATTAATAGCACATATGAGATCTTTAAGAATCGAAAATGAATTTTCTGATAGGTGAAAAAAAATGACTTAAATATTGAACTTATGGAGTAGTCAAGAAATTTTGTAATTGATAGTTTAAATAATTTTGGGTTACATATCAGTTAAGTGTCCTGACTGCTAACTCTCTGTGTCAGCTAATGGTCCGTGTGAGCTAAGTGTCCTTGTCGGAGCCCTTTAGGATATATCTGTCGGGTGCAACATCGAGCCTGAATATGTCAGGCATGGCTTCAAAAGTTCAGGTCAGGAGACCTGAATGTTTGCGATGAATCTTATAGGTGGAGGACTATAAGTATTGGTTTATCAGATCCTGAAAGCAGTTATATATGGGGTTGCTGTAATTGGCAAGCATTGACACAAAATGTAATAAATAAAACTTGTAAAAATTGGGTAAACAATGGTTTATTTTACTCTAAAAATCAATAAAGCAATCTAATAAAATGAACACATAGAATAATAAAGATGTGAGACTAATCATTTGCCTTTAAAAT